GAAGACTGTTGCAACATCAACTCCATTAGACCAAAATAAAATTCATATATACATAACCGTTTATTTACTTCATCTGATCAGAAAGGAAGTTCTAGACATGGGATTTCTTGGAACAAGCTTGATCAGAAGCTGCAACCATTTTTTCCATGGTTACCCCAGCATTGCATATGTTGGCTATAGCTTGCGTGTATTTCATTCCGTATGCTGATAAATGTCCACAGTACTTCTTATAAATCCTCAGCTGCACAGATAGAATTCAAAACCAATATCTCAGAGATAAGATTTACTGGTTTACTTTAAGTAAACAATTAAATAGATAAGCATTAAACTTGTGTGTCTGTATTAATTTCATGTATGGAATTAGAGGAAGGCTTACAAACTTCTTGAAGCAGTCCCAATCATCTACTACAGGTTGCCCCCGAGACCTAACGTTCATCAACGGGTTTGAGCTCTTCTGGTGTCCAAACAAAAGCTCCCCGATTTTATGGATGCTCTAGTCTACATGTTGCCTATGAGCAATTTCATCAAGCAGCTGCGTTCGAGCTTCCAGTTTCGCACGATATCAGGCAGACTGAAGAATAAAGAGAAATGGTTTGTAGATATAAATCATATTATCAAAATATATGAAAGTTTGTGCAAACTAAAAGACATTTAAGTTTAGGACTCGTAATAAATTAAGAGCAGAAACCTTGTGCTGGAAATAAAGGAGGTTTGTGTCGCGTTGGTTAGCAGCCCTTGAGACTGAGGGTGAAGAGATATCACCGATGGAAGCATAGCTATCCTTCACAAGATCTGCACCCATGTTATGTAAGTGAAGAGGAACTCCTTTCTATGGCTCATATCTCCATACTGCATAACATGAGACTCATTTGTTCTTCTTCGAACCTGTAATTTAGTCAAGATGGTCATATTATTCTAATTTTCCTTGGCATTATACATATACTTTATGATCTGCATCTGACAAGCATTTCAAAATATTTTATCTATTGACTATTGTAATGAAAGCTCCATAAATATCTAAAACTGTGAGAAGTTTCCAATATTTTACCCTTTCATATTGCTTCTCCAAAGTTTCTTTGCGCAAATCATTGCTGTCACTACTGTCAAATGTCACAATACGTTCCAAATTCATTGAAACAACAAAGTAATTAGTACGAGCCAACGATTCAAAATATATTGGAAACTGATAAAGTAATGTACTCTGCATAATAACAGCATCTTAATAAAGGAAAGCATTGCATTACGAATCCTCCAACCAGGAAATACTATACAAGTCTCCCAAACAGGTATCATACTCCTCAGGAACTTCAGGTTCACCTGAACAATATGTTCCATAACTACTGCAGAATTATTCCTCTGAAACCTTAGCCTTCGAGGCCCCTATAAATATATGGCTATACACAAGGGTTGAGGTACATCTAAAATTCTATATGAAACTCTACATAAATTCCCTCTCACAAACCCTAGCTGCCATACTTTTTCTCCCTCATACACAAGGCTCCGGCCACCACACACGGCTTTGACCACCCGGTTCACACCATACATACAACTCCGTACCCTTTTAGTTAGCTATTGTTTTCCTACAAACTCTCGAACTAACTTAAGCATCAAAGGGCCTTTGGCCAACACCCCCGGGTTTGGTCCTCTTATTCCGATCTATTTTGCAGGGAGAAAGAGGCAACGAAGAAGAAAGAGGAATCAATCAATCCAATATTCTTATGGGAAGCACCAATTTGTGGGAGCGATTTCTTCCCATTAGAATATTCGATTGATTGATTCCTCTTTCTTCTTCGTCGCCTCTTTCTCCTTGCAAAATAGATCGGAACAAGAGGACCACACTCGGGGGTATTTGCCAAAGACCCTCCGATGCCTAAGTTAGTTCGAGAGTTTGTAGGAAAACAATAGCTAACTAAAAGGGTACGGAGTTGTATGTATGGTGTGAACTAGGTGGCCGGAGCCGTGTATGGTGGCCGGAGCCTTGTGTAAGAGGGAGGAGTGTAGCGGCTAGGGTTTGTGAGAGGGAATTTCTGCAGAGTTTCAAATAGAATTTTAGACGTACCTCAACCCTTGTGCATAGCCATCTATTTATAGGGGCCTTGAAGGCTAGGGTTTCAAAGGAATAATTCTGCAGATGGAAAAGAATTATTCTTCTCTGATTTTGTGAGATTTGCTTAATTAGGGATTTGATTTAAATCAAATCCCTAATTAAGGTAGGAATCAAATTAATCCCAATTAAATCAATTAACTTCCAATTAAATTGAGTAACTCCCAATTAGGTCAAATAATCCCCAAATTAAAGGAAATATTTGACCTAGGGTTTTGCTAGAATTTGGTTCCCACAACTACTGTCTTCTGCATTTGGTGCGGTGTAGCATAAATATTTATTTTATTTGGATGGAGGCCCTCAAATATGCTCCCAGACTCGCAAGCTTCGATGCATAAAAGCCTTAGAAAGTACTGAAACTCAGCAAAGATTGATAGTAAACTAGAGGCTAGATACTTATCAATTGCTATTGAAATGGATATTGATCTTACCATGCTTTTGAAACCTTTACAAAGATGCTTCTTCTTTAGCACATGTATAAGATCTTTAGCAGAAACAGAATCATCCTCACAAGGCATCCCTGAATACAAAATACCACTCACATGTAAATGCAATATCTAATTTCACAGAAATGTTACCCTGTTCCATCTTCTTTCAATTAAGAATAACTTCCACAGAAAACAAGAGTTGGTTCTTCCTTGATTAGATCATGCGCTCACTTATTCCCTTGTTTTTACAAATGTAACTCCAAAAAAAAATCCTATTACATACAATTTAATTTCATTAACTAAATATTTAAAATTTAATTAAAAGCTACCAAGTAATCCTGCAGAACCATCATCTGCATAATAGATGAAAACATGGTCATTTGGACCACTTTTCAGAACCTTGCCACTACCTCCAGTCATGGCCCTTTGGCTTGTTGATGATGACACCTTGTCTAGGGTTTTCCGTGTTGTGTGCAGTATCAGCGTACATGAAAACAATGATGTTCTCTCATCTTTCAGTCCATCTTTCTTCAGTATCTGATATGCATGGCATATATCAGCCTACATGGAAAATTAATCAAATGCACTATTAGTAACATAGCATAATCATTGATACTAATACTATATATATGATGAAATTTGGACAAATTTAAACCTGATGCCTGTAGTTGTAGTAACCATTTGACCCAGCCATTAGAATTGCCCATCTTTTCCCCTTATCCTTAGTGGTACTTGGAGAGCCATTTTCACCATCAGCACTGAAATCAATTTCTTTTACACTTTCAGGGAGGCACAAGCTAATTCCATTACTCAAACTTAGCAAAGCAAGGGATAGTAATACTGAGGGGCGGCCCTGAAGGTGTGCAAGTGGTGCCACCGTACAGGGCCACGGATTTTTGAGGGCTCCGAAATTTTTTTATATTATATATAAAAGTTGACAAATTAATGTACGTACGTATACGTAGTAATGTTGATCAATTTTAATGTACTTTTTTGATGGTATAGGAGCACATATATGCTTAAAGTGAAGCTCAAACTCTCTAAAGCTCACTAGCTCAGCCTTGAAGAATATTGAGAAAAGGAAATGAAACTAGGAGATATATTATTTAATGAGAAAGACCAACCCTCTTACCAAGAGATTTTCAAAGAAATTGCTCAAAAAGATTTCACTCAAGCTCTCAGTGAGTGCATGCTCTTCCAATGAACAAAGGACTCAATTTATAGATGCTTTATGGTTGAAACGAACGGTTGAGTGATCCTTGACGTGGCTGAATTCTAACTGTACATCCGAGGCTAAGGTAACAATTTTTCATTTACCAACCTCACACAAAAACTGATCCACATTGATTAAAAACAAATTAAAAACTTGATCAATGTTGAATTTTTTAACATCTTGATTTAAAAGTTTAACTTCTTGAGCAATAGTCCTACATTGATCTGGTTAAATATCTTATATAAAAAAATATATGGGCACACACACACGTACATATTTTGAGCTAATTACCTAAAAATTTAAGTTTGGGGCTGGATATTTTAAATGACACTGCTTCCCTCGTTCCAGGGAAGAAAGGAAGCATTCTTACTTTTTGCAAATCACAGATTGACACATATGCGAAAATAATTATAAAAAACACAGAAAGAAAAATCCCTACACACGTCAAACTGTGATTAGCAGGATAATCACCAAAGAAGGAGGCAAGTATTTTCCTATTTTAAAATGGTATAATAGCCATTAAGTTTTGGGTTAGGTCATCTCTTAACAAGATTATCCAAAATAATCCTGGCTGGATCACTCAAAAGAGGGAATTACTTGTGCACAAATTGCTTGACATGAATGGTTTTGGAGCCTATGGTTTTCAAATTTTTTCCATTCAAAAATGCTCCCGTTGATATATTTGCCTTCGTTTGAAATTATTTTCTTAGCACCACATTCCAAATATACCGTGCAACACATTGGAATTTTCAGATTTCTTGTCCTCAATTTTATTTCTCATGAATGTAAATATGTTTTTGCTTCCATAGAAAGATGTAACACTTGGTGATCTACATTTCATTTCTAATATGGAAAAGCTCAACTTAACAAGGATATTACTCGATCTGAATCATAATTAGTAAGATATCTAGGGCTGTATATAAAGAAGTACAGCAATAGGAAAAAAATTTCCTAGTTAGATTCGGATAAAAAGAAAAAGGAAAGTTGCTGTAACTGATTAAGAAACAAAAAAAGAAACTCGTGCCAACATACGAAAGGCTACAGCATCAGCGGATTCTGAAGTTTTTCTTGTTTGTTTGGTCTTATCACGCTCTTGAATTTTCTCTATCTTGTTTCTTTTTCTTTGTTTGTTTGGTCTTATCAATTTTCTAAAGAAACCCAAAAAAAAAAATATTCATGAAGAAGTAGGAAAATCTTGAAGAAAACTTATAAATATGTGGCTAATTGAAGAGAGAATTTGCCACCACAAGGAGCAATGGCAAACAACATCACTTATGGTTTCTCTTTTGCTCTCATCATTTGCATGTCAGCTTTCTCGCTAATTCCACAGACCACCTCATCATCATCCCCATTCCAATTCCCTCCAACCCAATCCACAATCCTCCCTGAACCGTCAAGCTTCTTCTCTCCAAACCTCCTCTCAACCCCTCTCCCCACTAATTCTTTTTTCCAGAACTTTGCTCTCAACAATGGCGATAAACCCGAATACTTTCACCCGTACAGCATCAACTCCTCCTCCTCCTCTCTATCTCTCTCCTACCCATCTCTCTCCTCCACCTCTGCTTTCATCTCCCAAACCTTTGCCCCTGACCTCACCATCTATGCCTCCCAAACCAGCACCAACATAGATGCAGCAAATAGCAGCCGCCGTGTAATCTCTGGCTTCACTGATCTTAGTGTCACCTTGGACTTTCCCTCGTCCAACCTAAGCTTCTTCCTCGCTCGAGGAAGCCCCTATGTCACCTGCAATGTGTCTAGCCCCACTGCGGTTTCTGTCTCAACCATTCACGCAATCCTCGAATCCTATTCGAGCAACTCAAACACCAAGTTCATCGTCCAACTTAACAACAATCAAACATGGGTTCTATACACCTCATCCCCAAGTAATTTGACTAGAAGCAGCCCATCAACCTTAACTTTTGATGGCTATTCTGGGACTATTCGGATTGCATTGGTGCCGGGTTCTGATCCAAAATACGAGTCAATCCTTGACCGGTTTAGTTATGCTTACCCTGTTTCTGGTGAAGCTGTGTTCACAAAGTCATTCACTTTGGAATATAAATGGGAAAAGTATGGACAGGGAGATTTGCTTATGCTAGCTCATCCTCTCCATCTTCAGATTCTGTCTAACGCTACTGTTTTGGATGATTTCAAGTACAAAAGCATTGATGGTGATCTGGTTGGTGTTGTTGGTGATTCGTGGGAGTTGAGATCACATAATGTTTCAGTCACTTGGCACTCAATCGAAGGCATCAAACAAGGTTCGTACCCTGAAATTGTTTCTGCACTTCGTCATGATGTGGAGGTTCTCAGTTCGACTCCAATAACAACTGCATCGTCATATTTTTATGGGAAATTGGTTGCCAGAGCAGCAAGGTTGGCTTTGATTGCTGAAGAGGTGGATTGCCTTGATGTGGTTCCAGCAATTAAGAAATACTTGATGGACGCAATTGAGCCATGGTTGGATGGTACTTTTAGTGGGAATGGTTTTCTGTATGATCCTAAATGGGGTGGACTTGTCACCAAACAAGGATCAACTGATCGGGGTGCAGATTTCGGGTTTGGAGTTTATAATGATCACCATTACCATCTAGGATATTTTGTGTATGGTATTTCAGTGCTTGCAAAGATTGATCCAGCATGGGGGATCAAGTACAAGGCTCAAGCTTACTCTCTTGCAGCTGATTTCATCAACTTGGGCAACCAATCGAATTCAAACTATCCAAAGTTGAGATGCTTTGATATGTACACACTACACTCTTGGGCTGGAGGACTGACTGAATTTGGAGATGGAAGGAACCAAGAGAGCACAAGTGAGGCAGTGAATGCTTACTATTCAGCTGCATTAATGGGCTTAGCCTATGGAGACACCAATCTTTTTGACAGTGGATCAATGCTTACAGCTTTGGAAATTCAAGCAGCTCAAATGTGGTGGCATGTAAGAGAAGGAGATACACTTTATGAGGAAGCGTTCACAAAGGAAAATAGAATTGTGGGAGTTTTATGGGCAAACAAGAGAGACAGTGGACTTTGGTTTGCTCCTCCAGAGGCAAAAGAAATGAGGCTTGGAATTCAATTACTGCCCATATCCCCAATCACTGAGATCTTGTTCTCTGATGATGGCTTTGCTAAGGAAATTGTGGAATGGGCATTGCCATCTCTGAGTAGAGAAGGAGGTGTGGAAGGATGGAAGGGTTTTGTCTATGCCTTGCAAGGGATTTATGATAAGGATGGTGCTTTGGAGAAGATTAAGAGCTTAAAGGGTTTTGATGATGGAAACTCTCTCACTAATCTCCTATGGTGGATTCATAGTAGGAACTCAGGTTCACAGTAGGATCTTTGATTAGTCTTTAGGTTGTGTTGTTTTCCTTCATTTTTTTTGTAGTTGGTAGCATGCAAATTAACAAATTCTTATGTGACAAAATTTAATCAATTAGAACTACACTCCGGTTTGTGTTTTCCATTCCTCAATTTCAGTTTTGAAATTCATGCAGCTAAAGTTTGGTGGCATGTGAAAGAGGGAGGTAAACTTTATGAGGGAGATTTCACGAGGAATAATAGAGTGGTGGGAGTTTTATGGGCTAACAAGAGGGACAGTGGACTTTGGTTTGCTCCTCCAGACTGGAGAGAGTGTAGGCTTGGAATTCAGGTCCGGCCCATATTGCCAATCACTGAGGTCTTGTTCTCTGATGTTGGCTATGTTAAACAACTTGTGAAATGGACATCACCTGCTCTACATACTGAGAAATTAATGCAAAGGGTTTGCTTTTGCCTTGGAAGGGATTTCCAACAAAGAAAATGCATTGAAGAAGAACTGGAAGTTGAAGGGTTTTGATGATGGGAATTCTCTCACTAATCTTTTATGGTGGATTCACAGTAGAGGTGAGGGAAAATGAGAGGGTTGTGGACTTAGAATGGGGGCTTAGACAGAGTTATGTTTTTTTGGTTAATCCTTTCTATGCCATTTTGGATGACTTCTGTTTTTCAATTCAGCTTCTTTGTCTAAGCTATATTCTGTTCACTTTCGTTTGCTTTTCTCAGTGAATTGCACGCTGCTTGCTGGTTGAGCTTCTTTCGGAATGCGCCATATGTTGTTGGCTTCTATTTGTTCTTCCAAGTGAATTGTGTGTTTCTTTGCTGGTTTCTCTCTGTCATTGTTCTTGTGCTTCTCTGAAATGTGACATTCAAGATGCATTTCCAGGTTACGTATAAACAACGTCTACCACTCACTTACCCAAATTAACATCTATATAGCTTGGCAATTCCTTTTCATGCCAAGAAAGGTGCTTAGTTTTCTGTTCACAGAAGAGACGTGTGCTCACGAGGAAGCATTATCTTCAAGTAAAAAAAACCAGTACCAGCAGTGTGTTTTTCACAGCATGAAAAAAATTGAACGAAAATGCCATTGTAAAGAAAAATAATAATGTTTCATATGCAAAAAATGAGGTCCTTGATTGATTCATTTTTCTCTTTTTTGTTTCTTTAATCAAGTCATCAATCACACATTTCCATTTCATTATACATTTCTTTTGCTTGGCTCTCAAGCATTCTGAAAACCCCCCTAGGTATTTTTATGGGAGTTTCACTAAAACACCCAAAATGAGGGTTGAAATTATAAAAAAACTCAAGCACTATTTAAACATATAAACACACCCAAAACCCATCATTACACACACTCAAAACCCATTTATAAACACACCCAAAAAGTTGACTTTGAGGTTGATTTTGGGTGTGTTACTATGTTTAAATAGTGCTTGGGTTTTTTTATAAATACATGTCTAGGATTGGGTTTATTTATAAATTTGTATATTTTTATCCCTTCCTTCAAATTCAGGTACTTTTTTGGATATCTTGCAATCCTCTTAAACCCAGAAATTGGGTTTTGTGGGGTTCCAAATTTCTAAGGTATATACGAAACTTCTTCTTCGTCTTCCTCCTCCTCCTCCTCCTCCTCCTCCTAGTTTGGTAACTAACAGCTAAAATCCTCCCACCATTTCCTCCTACTTTCCCTCTTGGCTCCATCCATTTCCCACCAACTCATCAAAAATCAATATTTCTATTTTATTTTATTTATTTAATTATTTATTATTATTTCAGAGTCGTTCATTCCGCCTTCTGTTGCATTAATTCGACTCGTTTTCACACAAATCCAATGTTGAAAAAAATTAAAAGAAAAGTCAAAATCTTAATCACCAAGAGTTTCAAAAAATCTCGCAAGCCCTATAAACCACCTCCATCTTCACCTTCATTTCCATCGCCACCATCTCCTGAAGAATCCGACACCATGCCACCGCCAGCACAGTCAGCCCTCAAGCCACCAACCGCCACCCCTTTCCTCTTCCCTCAAACCCAATCCACAGTCCTCCCTGACCCTTCCCATTTCTTCTCCCCCAATCTCCTCACAACCCCTCTTCCCACCAACTCTTTCTTCCAAAACTTTGCCCTAAAAAATGGCGACCAACCTGAGTATTTTCACCCCTACCAAATCAAATCCTCCTCCTCCTCTCTCACCATCTCTTACCCATCTCGCTTCTTCAACTCTGCTTTTCTGTACCAAATTTTCATAGCTGATCTCACCATCTCTGCCTCACAAAACTCCAATTCCCAAGAGACGCATAAAATCTCTTCATTCAATGATCTCAGTGTCACTCTGGACTTTCCCTCCTCCAATCTCCGCTTCTTTCTCGTCCGGGGAAGCCCCTTTGTCACCTGCTCTGTTTCTAGCCGCACTGAGCTTTCAATCTCCACCATTCATGCAGTTCTCTCTTGTTCTTCCAGTAGCTCACGCACCAAATACACCATCAAGCTCAACAACAATCAAACATGGCTTATCTACACATCATCCCCAATTGATTTGACTAGCAGCAGCCTGTCATTGATCACTTCTGGTGGGTTTTCTGGGATTATTCGGATTGCCATATTGCCGGATTCTGATCCACAATACGAGGCAACCCTCGACCAGTTCAGCTCGTGTTACCCGGTTTCGGGTGAAGCTGTGTTCACGAAGCCATTTTCTTTGGAATATAAATGGGAAAAGAAAGGATGGGGTGATTTGCTTATGCTGGCTCATCCTCTCCATCTTCAGCTGCTTTCTGGTGACGATTGTGATGTTACTATTTTGGAGGATTTTAAGTTCAAAAGCATTGATGGTGATCTTGTTGGTGTTGTTGGTGATTCATGGGTTTTGAAACCAGACCCTGTTTCAGTCACTTGGCATTCAACCAGAGGTGTTAACGAAGATTCATATGCTGAAATTATTTCTGCACTTCGGAAAGATGTTGAAGCTCTGAATTCAACCCCAATAACAACTACATCTTCCTATTTTTATGGAAAATTGATTGCCCGAGCGGCAAGGTTAGCTTTGATTGCTGAGGAGGTGGCTTATCTTGATGTGATTCCGGCAATTAGGAAATATTTGAAGGATACAATTGAGCCATGGCTGGATGGAAGTTTCAGTGGAAATGGTTTCTTGTATGATCGCAAATGGGGTGGAATTGTCACTAAACAAGGAGCAACTGATTCTGGTGCAGATTTTGGTTTTGGAATTTATAATGATCACCACTATCATCTGGGGTACTTTCTTTATGCCATTTCGGTGCTTGCAAAGATTGACCCTGCATGGGGAAGGAAGTACAGGCCTCAAGCTTATTCGCTTGCGGCCGATTTTCTGAGCATTGGTAGGCGATCAAATTCACATTATCCTCGTCTGAGGTGCTTTGATTTGTACAAATTACACTCGTGGGCAGGCGGGCTAACTGAATTTGCAGACGGGCGGAATCAAGAGAGCACAAGTGAGGCAGTGAATGCTTATTATTCAGCTGCATTGATGGGGTTAGCCTATGGAGACACTCATCTTGTGGCCACGGGATCAATGCTTGCAGCATTGGAAATTCAGGCGGCTCAAACGTGGTGGCACGTAAGAGAGGGAGATAGCATGTATGGGGAAGATTTCACAAGAGAAAATAGGGTGGTTGGAGTTCTGTGGGCTACCAAGAGGGACAGTGGTCTTTGGTTTGCTCCTCCAGAGTGGAGAGAATGCAGGCTTGGAATTCAGTTGCTACCACTATTGCCAATCAGCGAGGTCTTGTTCTCTGATGTTGGCTTTGTTAGGGATCTTGTGAAGTGGACCTTACCAGCTCTGAGTAGGGAGGGAGTTGGAGAAGGATGGAAAGGGTTTGTTTATTCCTTGGAAGGGATTTACGACAAAGAAGGTGCTTTGCAGAAGATAAGGAACTTGAACGGTTACGATGATGGTAACTCACTTACAAATTTGTTGTGGTGGATCCACAGCAGAGGTGAGGAAGGAAATGAATTTGAGGCTGGAGGGAACGTATGCTGGTTTAGGCACTATCACTGAGTTTGGTTGTGTTATGATTGTGATTGTGATTGTGATTTTATTCTTTGTTGCAGACATTGAGCAGTTCTAAATGCCTTGTGATTTACTATCGTGTTTTCATTGGCTTTCATTTGTTCTTCCAACTGATTGTGAGCTTTATATGTATTTCTTTCCTGTCGTTGATGAAACATTTCTCGTTTTAGATGGCTTTTATGAAATAAGTCTACCACTATGCTACCTTTCCATGGCAAGAAATATGTGCTTCACATGACAAAACTAATATGGCATGCTTAACAATTTGATTAAAGGCGAGATCGGTGCCATAAAGCAGCCAAATAAATTGTACAAGTCAAAACATCCACAACCACAGGAGTTTCTTCACAACATGAATAGAACTCAACACAAACGCCATTAGAAGTGCACTGAACCTGAATAAGGTCTGGGATGTCAAATTGCTATACAAAATCAGCCCTAACTACTTACTAGTTACTAGTTACGTACTTGATCACAAAGTTGAGCAGTATGGTGAAACAGATGCCTGACAAGAATCCAGACCAAAATTTGTTTGGCTTTTTGGAACTATCACCTTTCATGTTGTCCAAAAATCCGCTAATTTCATTCATTTGTTGTTCGATTTGGCGTATAAAAGCAGTCACTGCATCTCTGCCAGGATATTCATCATGAACTTCACTATCTGGTAGGTCATCTTCCCAATCTTGGTATCGACACATTTTGATTGCTGTTGGTGGTTCCTACATAATATAGTATTTTTTGTTATAAAACAGAGGGGTAAGAGGAAGAAGTATTCATATTCTAAAATAGTATATGGTGCAAACTGGATCTCTTCCTACTTTAGCTCACTAATCTAAATACTAATGTTTGGAAACCATAGACTGTATCATTGACAATACAGATTGCAAGGGCTTAACATTTGCTTCCCCGCCTTCCCCTCCTCACCATCCACTGGACAATCCATTAGAAAGGAAAAAAATAAAGCATGGGCAAATTCATCTCCTCCTTCAAATGATGTAAAGATTGTGTGTCATAGTATGAATGCAGTGAGAGAACAGAGAAACGAAACTTATGAATTCAACATTTAGCGTTTAAAAATCTTTCCAAAAAACGAAAAACTTGACATATAATTCTTGAAGCCAGAGTTGTAGTTGAGTTGATAGACAAAGTTTCCACATAAACTCATATACAAAGACACAGTACAAAACAGAATTTGGATAATTTCAGGATGGTGAGACATGGATTTCTATTTACAATTCAAATAGCAACCACTACTAGATTCAAATTTCGCTATACATACTTTGCTGGACTTCATCACTTCATATTGGGGTTCATTTTCTTTGCGGCATTTTATCAGTAACCAAGCAAACAAAACGCGGCAAAACACAAATTCAGCATTCAACCAAAGAAAATAGGAACAGTATATCAAATTCGAAAGAAGATTACGAAAAATGAGGTCGCAATTAGTAAATTTTCAGTGAGGGAAGACCGAGGATGAAGAAGCGCGTACCTCTGAACCGGAACACAGAGAGTACGCATTCGAAGTCCACGCTTTTATGCACGCGGTTTCTGACTAGGGGAGTACTTTCTGTTTGTTTTTCGGGTCAGGATCCGGATTTTATTCAATGGGATGGCCCAAACGATAATTGGGTTACAAAATGGTTGGAGCCTTTTGGAGGAAGAGGAAGCATTATTAAATATTATTAAGCCCATTTATTCATAGCCCCATAAGAATTTTCCTCTTTATTTAAAAAATATATATACAAAGCATGGGTGAAAAATAAATAGATAAACAAACTCGTTTTTATAAATTTTAAAAAAATTCATATTGCTAGAGTTCTATTTGGGTAACTTATTAGAAAGGGTCTCATTTTCTTTCAAACTTAGAGATCTCATCTTAAAATATTATTGTTTTCAAATCGCAAAGCAATATAAGCTTAAGAAGCTACCACCATCATCTTCACTCACAACCAGGACCGCACCATATCGCATTTATTAGTGCCAACTATGTTAGTCATAATATATATACATCAATTTTTACTTTCATCTTACCATTTTACTATATTAATTATTGTCATAAGAAGCACAATCATTAGGTGTTATCGCTGTTTATATTACATATATCACATCATCCCTTTTTCTCAAAACTCAAAATTGTGTCATTCTTAATACTCAAAGAACAACTTGCTAAAAGACAGGCAAAAGCTACATTGAGTTGTACACCAACATATATAAAAATCAAAGAGTGGAAGGTGCTACATTTCAATTTCAGTTAGCTTGTCACCATGAGAAGAATGCATGCCATCTTCCATCATTAGGTCAACCAACCAACCTCCTCCCTCATCAAAAGCCTTGGAGTTGAAGATTTCAAGATTATGAGCATGGTTTTTACATTAAACCACCTTATAAAACAACCCAAAAGACAAAGTCCCCTCCTCTTCTCCACCTCAAACAAATTAAACAAGTTAAAAGGCTATGTGTTTTAAGAATTGTTTATTGCCGTTTCATCAACATGCGCGCATTGGGACAACATGGCAGTTGGGAGACTCTGTTGGCAGTGAGAATGAGATCTCACAATCTATTTGATAAATCACCTCTTCTATTATACCCTTAAGCGCTGACTATTGGATTACGCGGCCTCATTCTTTTGACTCTTCTTTTATTTATCCCTTTTTTAATGAGAAAAAAGGTTTTTTTTATTCACCTCCATTGATGCAAAATTACTGCAGACACCCATTATTTTTATTTTTCAAAATCCAGAAAAAGCCATAAGGTTATTGCTTAAGTTTTTTTTTTTCTTCCCCTTTTCAAAATATAATTGGGTTATTAAAAAGTGACTAATTGGATAAGACAACAAAAATGAACTCTCACATTTGTACATTGCTTGGTAGAGCTAAAGAGTTTAGCTTTGCCCAAAGAATTTACCATTGTAGTGGTTTGAAGTAATTACTTATGCAAGTAAGGTATTTAGTTCGAGTCATAACATGCGTATAGTGTGTCTGAATTTAGTATTCTCGCCCCTCTCAATAGGAAAGGCAAAAGGAGTTTAGCTTTGTATCTTATCTTCTTTCTATTGGGTTGATTATATTTTCTAATTTATAACATTCAAAAAGAAAGAAAAATTATAAAACAAATAAAACTCAATTAGAAGAAAAAAAAAAAACATTAGTAACATTACATTGAAAAAGACAAATAGAACAGGAAGTAAACAGCTAAGAAAGGTGTCCCTTCTGGTAAGCTCAAGCATAAAATTTTTGATCATGCGCTATGGTAGGAGTAATTTTACAATGATTGTTTTTGGCTGCCACTTCCGCTCTGCATGTGGAGTCACCAGTGAGGAGGCACTCTTCCGAAGTCGCCCCCACGTTCACTAGCGTGTTTTGTGGCTACACCTTTTTAGAGTCTTCAGCATTTTCCACAAAAATTGCTTTCTCCGGAAAACACTGGTGGCATTCGAAGATTCCATCCTGTAAGAACCCAACTCTCCCAAACAGCAAACCCCATTTCCGTTTCCGGGAGGGAGAGGTATGAATTGCTCCAGTTTTTTAGCTTCTTGGTTTTCTCTATGCGCAGTTTGGTGATCTGGGCTGCTGCATTTGCCCAATAAAGTTATCAGCTTTTACTTCTTGTAGTAAATTTGGGTTTTAAAGTTTGAAGCTTGCGCATGGTGATCTGATATTTCCTCAATTTTTGGGTTTTTGGGTGTTAATGTTGTTCTTTCAAGGGTTTTGTGAACTGGGTAGTGCTTATTTTTTGTGAATTTTGGGTTCATCTGAACTTTCCTGAGTTTTGGGGACCAGTAGAGGATTTAGGAGGCATTGGTTATGCCTGGTCCTTTTGAATTGGGGGTTTCTGGCATTTTCAGTTTTCTGAGAATCGGTTGTTTATAGTTGTTGCTGTGGGGAAGACATTTGGCGATTGTATTTTGTTATGTAGTGTTAGCTGATGTTTGATTTTCAGTGAGAGTGACTTTTCCTGTCACTGATTTTGGCTAGTTTGGTAATGGAATTGATATAATAAAGCAAAAAAAAAACAGTAGAGAATTTAGCATTCATTTCATACAAAGATGTCTTCAACAACATCACCTTCTCCAAATTCTTCCCCTTCTGCGGTCCCACCAACTTCATCTGGTACCTCACCACCCCCACCTGCTTCCCCTGCCCCATCAAATTCATCAACTACTACAACCACTGCAACCCCTTCTGACGCTTCATCCCCTCTTCCCCAGTCTCCTCCTCCAGCAACACCAGCTGTTCCCCCTCCAAAATCATCACCACCACCATCAACACCGCCACCAACTTCACCACCGCCTTCGCCTCCTCAGGCTCCACCCCCATCCCCTCCTCGGTCTCCGC